CCCGCACTGTCGCCCCCGCGCCTCGGTTCTCGCGCCCGTTACTAAAAATGTATAATTCGACTTCCTGTACAGCAACCTGCCGCCCTGCCTCTGTCTTCTTTCTCTCCACCAGGCGGTCCATCCTGAGCGGAGGCCCCTCGCTGCACGCCCTTCCTCACCCCAGGCCAGACCCCCGGCTGCACACCGAGCCGGAGGCCCGGGGACCTTGTTCCCTGCACTGCTGAGGGCAACGCGGGGGCCTAAGCTGAGAGCAGGCCTTCCGCGAGTTCCTGCGAACCCACAGCCTTCCATGGGTCCAGGGAGGGTGGCGGGGGCTCTCTCCAAGCTGTCCCCACGGCCGCGAGGAAGGGGAGGCCGCCTGGCCTAAGCTATTCCGGCGTCCTTGACATGAAACTAACCAGCCCTAGAGCCACAGTGTGCGAGGGCGCCCCCTGGCGGGGACGGGGAAGCGGGCTGTGCAGCTGGTTCATCGCTATCCCGGTCCTAGCAAGGGGCCGTGTCGGCCGATGTTGGTGACACCAGCCCCACTCCAGGCTGACATATGAGGAGGGCCCAGCAGAGACCTACCTTTGACAAAAACGGGTGGCCGGGAGCACCTCTCCCTCTGGGCAGGATCTGTCTCCTCCCTAGTCACGTGGCAGGGCTGGCCCGAGGAGACCTGGCCCTCCACCCCACTCCGGCAGTCACTCCACCACCGGTGTGTGTCCCCGCTCCCCTGAGTACTAGCAGTTCTCGCACGAGCTGAACCTCAGGCTCCAGAGGCCTCTCACGTCCTGGCCACGTTGGGATCTGTCCCTCTTGAGTCCAGACTCCGTAGTCACCAGCAACCCCAGACACCTCAAGGAGAGCTCTGAACTGAAGGGGGCTGTTTTGGCTGTTTGGGTTTTGTTGTTTTACAGATTTATTTATTTAATTTTATTTATTCATTCATTTCTTTTAATTTGACCAGAGAGAGAGAGAAAGTGAGAAAGCAAGTCACCAGGTCCAGGATTCAAACCGTGGTTGGCCATGTGGGAGTGTTCAGCACCTTAGGCACCATGTCACCTGCTGGTCCCCTGTTGTCTTTTATTTGAGAGGTTTTTGTTATAGGGTGCATGCGCTCACCAGATAGACAGAGAGAGAGAGATTAAAAGCAAGAAATCACCCCCCCCCCTCGGGGTGGTGGTGGTGGTGGTGGTGGCCACACTGCAATCCCTTCTCCTCTCAGGATCTTGGGCATGCACACACATGCACCCAGTGTGTTTTAAGCCACCGGTCTGGGACGCAAACCGCAGTCAACTACATGGGAGTCCAGCGACATAGCCATGACACTAACTGCTGGTCCCCCCTGTTGTTTTTTAGAGAGATTTTTGCTATAGGGCTGATGCGCTCACCAGAGAGACAGAGACAGAAAGACAGAAAGTGAGAAATCACCTCTTCCGGGGGGGGGGATGGCCACATTGCAATCCCTTCTTCATTCTCCACTTGAGATCTTGGGCACGCACGCACACGTGCCTGGTGTGAGTTTTAAGCTACGGGGTCTGGGACTCAAACCGTGGTTGACTATATGGGAGTCCAGCGACATAACCATTATGCCATCTGCTGCTCCCATGTTTGTTTTTGTTTTTCAATTGCCAGCAGGCATGTGCCAGAGAAAGACAGGGAAGGAGAGGGAGAAAGCACTTCTCCACGGGTCGTGGTCACCCCAAAATCCCTCTTCCATTTCTCCACCCCGTTTGGGGGTCGGGGGCATGGGTACACAGACACCAAGTGCGATTATCAAGCCTCCGGGCAGAGATTTGAACTGCATGGTCGGCCCTGTGGAATGTGGCCTCCCTGACCACTGGGCCATGGGGCCAGTCCAGGGGAGTTGGAGCAAGCCAGACTGTGTGCTCCAGGCTGAGGGTGCAGCCCGGGCCTAGACTGACCAGGGAATGAGTAGGAGCTCTGTGGGCACAGATGGGAGCCCAGCACCCCACACTCCAGCGTCCATTCACCCAGACCCTGTGGGCATGGATTCCCCTGGATGAGAGCCGGCCAGGGCATGGGCCGACGGAGCTTCAGGAGATCCGGGTGAAGTGACCAGACACCCTGAAGGCTTTCTCAGAAAGATCAATGTTTCCAGAGCCTCTGCTATTTGCCAAGTCCGAGCAGGGACTGGTGCGCTACCTATTCCTTGAGAATCTCAGGCCAGGACTGTATTTTAGTTACTTTAAACAATGATTGGACCAGCAGTTGGTGTAATGGTTATGTTGCTAGACTCCTATGTATTCGACCACGGTTCACATCCCAGACCTGGTGGCTTAAACCCATGCTGGGCGTGTGTAGAGAGAAGAATAGAGAAGGGATTGTGGGTGGTCATCCCCCCTGGGGGTGATTTCTCACTTTGTCTCTCTGTCTGTCTGGCAAGCCCACGAGCCCTATAGCAAAAACCTCTCAAAAATATATATATATTATTATTGGGACCAACAGATGGTCTAATGGTTACATTGCTGGACTCCCACATAGTCCACAGACCCAGTGACTTAAAACTCATGCTGGGCACATTTGCGTGCGTGTACATGCCCAAAATCCTGAGAGGAGAGTGGAGGAGAAGGGATTGCAACATGGCCATCCCCCCTGGGGGGTGCTTTCTCACTTTCTGTCTTTCTGGCGAGTGCACAGTATCTATAGCAAACATCTCTCAAAAATTATTATTTTGAATTATTCAATGCTATGCATCATTGTTTTTTAAATCATGATTTATTTAATTTTATTTATAATTATTATTTTAAAATTGAATTTTATAATGATTATTTTAACATCTGCTACAGGGTACATGTGTTCATGAGAGAGAGAGAGAGAGAGAGAGAGAGAGAGGCAAATTAAGAAAGCAAGCTGTCAGGTCCAGGACTTGAACCATGGTTGGCTATGTTGGAGTCCAGAGCCTTAACCATCATGCCACCTATAGCCCCTTAAAAAATGATTATTACTGGGGCCAGCGGGCAACTTGGTGGCTAAGGCATTGGACTCCCACATGGCAGATCGTGGTTGAGTTTTGGACTGGGTGGCTTGAAAGCCACACTGGGTACATGTGTGTGTGTGCCCAATATCCCTAGAAGAGAATAGAGGAGAAGGGATTGCAGCATGGCTTTGCACCTTGGGGGGTGATTTCTCTTCTTCCCCATTCTGTCTCTCACCTGCACACATGCCTTATGGCAAAAACCTAAGAAAACAAATTAGTACTACTTCTTTCTCCTTGAGCAAAGGAAAGACAGGGCCAGCAGGTGGCGGTGGAGGTTAAGGCACTGGATCACACAAGGCCAACTGCGGATTTCAGGTCCCACACCCAGTGGTTGAAAACACTCTGGGTGTCTGTGGATGGGTACTCAAGACCTCAAAAAGAGAGGACCAGCAGGTGGAGTAGTGGTTAAGGGTGTTAGATTCCCACATGGACAACCATGGTTTGAGTCCTGGACCTGGTGGTTTGCTTTCTCCTTTCTCTCTCACTCTCCCTATGTCTTTCTTTAGTCAAATTAAAATAAAAAATATTAAATTAAATCTTAAAAAAAAGAGAGAGAGAGAGAGAGAGATCGTGAAAAGAGAATAGAAGAGAAGAGATTGTGGCATGGTCATCCCCCCACAAGGGGTGCTTTCTTTCTCTCTGTCTCTCTCTGGCAAGTGTATGTGTCCTACAGCAAAAATATTTTTAATTTGGGACCAGCAGGAGGTGTGGTGGTTGGGGTTCTGGACATTCCCACATGGCCATTTGTGGTTCGAGTCCCAGACCTGGTGACTTACTTTCTCACTTTCCCTCTCTCTCTCTCTCGCTCCGTGTCTCTCTCTGGTCAAATTAAAATAAGTGAATAAGAGGTTGACAGGTGGCATGGTGGCTGGATTCCCACATGACCAGCCGTGGTTCGAGTCCTGGACCTGGCGGCTTACTTTCTCACTTTCCCTCTCTCTCTCTCTCTGGTCAAATTAAAAATAAATAAATAAAGTTAAATAAAATAATTCTTTAACAAAGTGAATAATTCTAATATTTTTTTTAAGTTTTGCTACAGGGTATGTGTGTTTGCTGGAGAGAGACAGAGAGGGAACGTGAGAAATCACCCGCCAGGAAGGATCACCATGCTGCAATCCCTTCTCCATTCTTTCAGGATTTGGGGCTCATGCACACAGGCAGTGTGACTTTCCAAACTGCCGGGTCCAGGACTTGAACTATTCAGTCGGTTGTGTGAAATCTAGCACCTTAACTTCCATATCACCTGCTGTCTCATCCTTTAGCTAATAAAAAAAAAAAAGTTGTTCTTATAAATTACCCAGACTAGATCATTCTGTTACTATTAATAGAACAGACTAGAATGATCATCAGTGGATATTAAATTGCTGAGTGAATGAACTGGATATTGAATTAGTTTCAAAGTATCTTCTCATAAAGATCATTGATAAATGCAGCATAGGAACTTAGAAACTAGCAGACACCATGTTACCAAGTTAGCCTACTCAGTTACAGAAGAAATTAACAATGTTTACATCTTCAGAATGCAGTGTCCCTACCCTGGTTCCTGCTTCATAATCACGGGAAAACACCAGAGGAATCCAAATGAAGGGACTTCCTGCAAAATGACTAGCCTGCAATTTGCAAACGTATCAAGTTGACTTAGACAAAGAAAAATTGAGCAACTCTTCCAGACAAAGGGAGCCGGAATTAGTCATACCAGCAAAACACAATGCACGGTGGTGGGTTGGGTTTCTGACCTTCAAAGGACATTTTTATTAGAAAAGGAAAAAAGTTAGTCTCGTGTCCTAGGGGTGAAGGGAGCTGGATCCCAAATGACTGACCTTGGATCAAAAGGGACAACAGAAGGGAGAGACAACTCCTACGATGGGACAACTGCAACCTAGTAATTTGACAAGGGATTACTATCTAGACTATAAGAGGAACTCGATTTAGCAGCAACACACACACAACAACAAATAATCTAATTTAAAAATGGGCAGGGTTGGGACCAGCAGTTGTCATAATGGCTATGTCGCTGGACTCCCATGTAGTCCATGTGGATCGAGTCCCAGAGCCCATGGCTTAAACTCACACCAGGCATGTGTGCGTGTGTGCCCAAGATCTCGAGAGGAGAATGGAGGAGAAGGGATAGTGGCGTGGCCATCCCCCCTGGGGAGTGATTTCTCGCTTTCTGTCTCGCTGTCTCTCTTTCTGGTGAGTACACGTGCCCTATAGCAAAAACCTCTCCGATAGATAGATAGA